CCACTGAACTATCGTCCTATGAAAAGAAATCTAAAACAGAACAAATAGTTCCACTAAATATTACATTTAAAACAAAATAATTCTGATCTAGTAATTTATTTAAATGGACCTGCAATTGAAAAAAAAAAAACTGTTTTACAGAAATGAATCACCCCTGAATAGCAAATACCAATAAAAAACAGTAACTCTTTAAAACCTCACTCACAACATTCAAAACAAGACCAAAGCAAAGGGATCAACTATATGAGTACACACAATTTAAATTGCAAATATCGATTAAGATTTCGAATAGTAAGCGAAGAAAATGAACAATCTAAGGTGACGGCAAAAGGCAATATAAACCCTGACTACGTAACAATAATCTTGAAAAAATAATTCCAGAAACTTAAATACCAGTAAAAATTCAGAAGTAAACCTAGTAACAGCATCAAATTCATATGTATCAACGAAAATTGCAAAAGTAAAAAATGCAATTTCTAAAAATTAGATGAAAACCACTCTCTTGAGACTGGACGTTTTGTTTACGTATTAGAAGCACTTTGCTAACATGCTTTTTCTCCAGTCAGTTCTCTGGTGTAAAGCAACTGTAACTAATGGTACAGTTGGTCACAGCTACAACTTACTTAATTGTTGTTTTAAACGCAACCAACAACATCAACCAGTCTATGCTACCAAACACAAGAATAAAAGAGAAAGGGAGAAGAAACAGTAATATGTAAGGATCCTGCTTCCGTAGAAAACAAGAGGTTACCGTATCAGTAACAAACCCAAATGGGACAAAACATGTTCTATCAATTCTGAAGAGAATAGGTACTAAAAAGCTAATATCAAAGAGAGAGAAAACTTTTCTTCAAACCACTTTATGAAAAACAGAACCTTCACACTCCCCTAAACTTTTCCCCAGTTGCGAAGGCTTAATTCAGTGTTGCGAAAACTTTTAACGTTTTGCTTTCTTTCAAAAAGAAAATTGTGGCATCTTCCTCTAGCGAATCGCTTCCCCCTCTTCAGCTGTCAATGCCTAATTCTGTATTCGCTTTCAACTTTATTAAGAGAAGAATTAACAGAATTCATGTTTATATGGTTTTACTAAAATTCCAATCAAAAAGATAGGACAGTACTAGAAATTTGTCTACCAACTATAACTTGAACCTTCTCACACTTCATTATAACTTTCGGAACCAATTTTACATTTCAGGTTGTTCAGCCGTCTTTGCCCCTGACACCATTTGTCGCCCTCCAGGGAGACAATATTGTCCAATTTGGAAATCAGTGTCTAAGCAAATGTCAATTGCTGGTAATTTCTACTCCAGACCAAAAATAAAATAGCCACGAGATTAGTAAAGAAATTGAAAATTAAAATTTAACACTGTTCAAAACTCAGGGAACTTACAAACAACAAGCTTCAATTTAGTAAAATTAACGTGTTAATATAACAACAAAAATTACTGCTTCTCAAGATTAACTCTCCAATTAATTTACAATTCAAAAAACCTCCTAAAAGCAAATACTTTTCAACAGCAAATTTCCTGTCAATTCTTTATTTATCCTTATTTCGTGCCCATTACAGCTTGCTACTCCTTGTCTTATGTAAACGGTGACTTTTTTCAACGAAATTTCAACGCGATTTAAGCTAAGGTTTGCCTTGCTAATGTCATCCAAGTAATTCGACCTTCTTTTCTTTCAGTTACCTGGGAGAAAAACTGAAATTGTATTTCAACTAAATATAACAGCACAGAACCCAGTTACCGCGACAATGTTAAAAACATCATGAACTTTTGAATTTAGATAGAAAAACTCTTCCAATTTGTTCTTATGAACAAATCAAACATTACTTTTGATTTCCTAGCCTGTCATAAATCTTTACCGCATTCGACAAATGATCCAATCCAAAGCTTAGACTCCAAACCACAAATGACTTACATTAGAAACGCTTTTTCATACAACAAACCCTCAAATCAGAGAGAATTTATAACTCAGTTATAAATGTAATTTTATGCAAACTTTTCCTGGCATGGTGTATTTCTCCCAAATAAAACGACAAGTAAAAACATGTTTTTCAGTTTAATCCATAAAAAGTTGCCACTTTGGAAAAAATGAATTTAGTTTTGGCTTCGGAATGATGTTTCAATGAAAACAATATTAGAAGAAGGAAAAGAGGATATTGGAAAAAAAGTTAAGACTAAAAGTTTTTTTCACACGATATGTAAACAAATGTGTTTAATGAAGTATCTGAAATTTAAGTGCAGCTCAAGTTGCAAGAAGGAAAAACCAAACATTTTATCAACCAAAAAACTTTTAAAATAATTTCGCTCTCAAAAACTGCATTAATATAGATAGTTATAACAGCAGAGAGTATATCCTATACTATTAGCCAGTAACAAACTCCTGAACTGTTTAAAATCTTTGCCTAGACTGTCGTCAAAAAGAACAATTCATCTAGTTCCTTAAGTTGTGTACTAAAATTTAAATGTTTTCAGCAACGCTAAAAAAATATGATCTATCATCATCCTTAGTCTTTCTACAGACCTAACATTTATTGCTGCAACAGACACACAAATACAC